AGGACGTCGAGTCCTTCGATGCTGTTAACCCGGAGAGGTGAGGTCGATTCAATTAAAGGCACAATTAAAGGCATTCCCGAATGTTTGATAACACCGCCCGCAACAGCGAGCACGTTTGAGCGGAAACGCGTCGCTGAAACGCCATTGTTTCTCAGAGTAAAATATATATATATATATAATATATATATACACAACATGACGTATCCATATACTCATTTGCGTATAAGCACGCAAGCATTCATGCGGAGGTTAATTCGTGTACCGACCCAAATGTGTTACCACGCCGCGCGCTCTCCGATACGTGCGCGGTGACCGCAGTCTCTCGAACGCCGACGTGTTCCAATTAGAGGCTCAGCGACGAAAGAGAACGACGAAGACGACGACATGGTTTCCTCGTTAATCACGATGATTACGCCATTTTCGTGAGCGCAATCAGCCCCGAAAGAAACCGTTGTGTCGCGATAACTGGTTTAAGGAAGGGCAGCTCGTCCGACCTTCTTCGTGAGCGGTACCAACGGAATTTTTCGAGAAATTAGTTCCGCTCGTCGGGCGAGACGGCGAAATCGAGTTTTTTGTCGTGATTAAAACAATACAGCGGTGCAGATACGTATATAGATTTCCGCTATTGACAACAGAAGAAATCAAAAATTGAAATCGAAAGAACGGCAAGATGAAAGATTGATTTGTCGCGATTAAAATATCTAATGCGTAACTCGTCAAATTTCTTTAACAAAGTCGAAATAAACGGACTGAGAGCCTTTTAAAAGTGCAGATAAAATTGGAAAGGGAATAGAGGACAAATGCGGGCGATACGGAGCACGTGTAGACCGAGAGCCACTGATTGCGAGAGACACGCAACAATCGTTGCAATTGACCGCGTAATAGAAACGCGTTATGCAGGCCGCGGCAGGAGCCGGTAGGATACCGGTCGACCTTGAGAATGAACACGATTCCTTAACGTGCGTTTTCCCTTTTACGGAAGGGTTCCGCGTTCGTGTAATTGCCGCGTTACGCTCGGCCTTTTACAAAATTTGTAAGCGATAGGAAAGGTGGACAGGTTGCTCCGCATCTCAGTACTATCAGTCAACAGAAACCACCTGTCGATTCTTGTGGATTCTATACACATCGTATTTCTTAAAGAGGGTTATTTAAATTACAATTTACTATTTGTTATGTAGTTCAAACAAAACACATAATAAAATTAATTATGAAATATTTAAGCCTTACAATTAGACCCCGTTATGTTCTCGTAGTTCTTGTAGTTTTAAATTTTTTATTATTTACAATTGCGCAGTCTGAATTGAAGGCTCTGAATCGATCGTTAAACTAAACGTCGATCGTTCGAGTCTCGAATTGTATCACGCGAATGCATTGCATTATCGAGAAATCGGCATTAATGCGGAAAAATTCACTTGATCCAATTCGGAGAGGGTTAAAGCGTCGTGAGATCGACAGATCGATTTTCGGAAAAGGCGGGGCCGTGTGAGAGATCAACCGCGGGATTCATGGGTTTAGATACCTCCAATTTTTTCTACGGTAACCACATGAGAAAGTTCATACTGCAGTAGGGCCGTGGTGCACAACCGGGGTGCATGCTAAGCAAATGCAAATGCACCCGATCTGCATAATTCGCGAGGAGATTTCTCTTTGTTTTGCATGGTTTCGCCTTGGACCAGCCACTCGGTTTACGCGATACCAATCGAGGTGTCGTTGTTTATTACCGGAGGTGTTGAACTCTGACACTTGGCGTTTTGATAAAACAAATGAAATAAAGAAAAAAAAATAAAAAAACTTTATAACAACGCTCACAAGACATGCAAGTTAAATTTAAAAGAAATGGAAATCTTAACAGAAATTTGTTGAATCTGCTTTGTAAAATTTGAATTTTACTTTAGTCACTAACATTAGCGCAAAAATACATATTAAGCATCTATTGATAGTTTAAGATATGTTTTTTAAAGTTATGTACAAAGAGAGTACAGAAAGATAAAAATAATAAAATTCAGTGAAATATATTAATAACAATTAATATAAGATTAAACGAAAAAGAGAAAAGAATATTTGGACTCTGTCAAGTTTGAACTAGAAAAAGAAAAAAGATACGTAGAGAAGGGACAACAAAAAAATATGAACGCTGGAATTCTTTTCGAGATAAAGAGCGGAGTTTTCCGGAGGTGTCCCCAAAGACGCAGGTAGAAAACTCACACAATCGCGATATGTGAATTTTCTATCTACCTGACGGTTGAATACGGTGTAAAGGATATAGAACCGAGAAAAAAGCGACGAATCCCGGATGAGATTTCTTTAAAAATATCCAAATGCAAATTTTTATCAAAATCGCCGTTCTTTTATTAGCCTTACAAAGTTATGACATAAATGTACGAAATTTATATAAAATGCATATAAACAAACAGCTTAGATATTTTGCGAAATACTTGATGAGTTGAAGCGATTCGATTAAACGGCCATCGAGCGATCGCATATTCGTTCGATGGCCGGAGCAACTCACCACGATACGTTATCGACATGCATAAATAATCATCAAATCGAAAACCATTTGAGAAACTGGCCGTGATTTATCGTACCACGCGTGTATCGTCGCCTCTGTACATAATTTTCTGGTGAATTGTAGGGTAGCTTAATTGACACGTCACCTCTTCTTGTGGCCTACACAGAGCCATTCGTCTTACCTTCGATCCACGTGTCGGCCTTAAATCAATTCCGGGTACGGACAAATTACCAAAAGGGATTAATGGCTTCAACGCCGGCCCTAATTGGCTCCAAATCATGCGAGAGGGAGCCTCACCCGATCGTTGCCTCGCCCTTCCGATGCAAACGGCGGGAAAGATACACCCTCGCTCGATTTTATCTTGTCGCTGAAGTCCATTCTACGCCTACGTGAAATTAATGAACATCCTTTTTCGATCGATTACTTGTGATTCTGGGATCGCGCACGCCCGCATGCGAATGTACTGTGGATAACCTTTCGAATCTTTTAAATTACGCCGTACTTCGCGGTGGGTGGATGAATGAATGGGACTACCCACACGCTGACAATGAACGCGTTTGTTAATCTAACGCCATTCCACTAACTCATCTGAGCCTGTAATAAGAATTACGAAACGTTGAGTCGTTCGTGCGATTAGAAACCTGCTTCGGAACCGATGCGAGAAGTCATGGAATTCGAAGGAAATGGATAGATCTTCATGTAATAATCATTAGGAATCCCCGGACACGGTCGGCGGATCTGTGAAAGAGCAACACGTGATGCGTAGCCGACGTTTAAAAAGATGTCTAAAAAGATTCAAACTATTAATCTATTTAGTAGCACAACAAAAGTCGTTACTTATTTGTTAGAAATAGAAGTTCTGTATCCACTTTGCGGTATGCGCATTCTCAAGAGAGCTATTTAATAAAGAACTTGAAAAATGATCATGCAGAAATTGCCGGAAACGAATAATAATGAAGAGATAGAGTGGAGAACGTAGAAGAATCCTGCGTTTGAGTTGAGACTTTTTATTAATAATTAATTTTAGAATGGATTCTCTTGCGATTCATCCTGGTAAGTAAAAAATCTTCGCTGGTTATTCAAACTCATTCGAAACGACATTCACACATAAAATACATAATATACAGCAAAAGCATAATATACAGAAATCTCTACATGTGAATGCGAGATATTTATATGCAAAATTGTAATGCGACGAGAGTTTCATAGATTTTTCATTGACATTTCAAAATATTAAATAACGAAAAGAATTGATTAGAAATTATAAAATTGAGCAAATGTATAAAGTTCTTTGCAGCGTTTATGACAATTTTTGAAATAATGTTGTTGTGTGTCATCAACGTGTCCTTTTTTGTCTAAAAATAAAATGGTTTGAAATAGTGGAAAAAAAATCACAGAAACTCGAGCAAGACTTTCGCATATAATTAGCGATGAAATAAAAGTGAATGAGGAGGTCGTCGAGAGAATTAATGTTCGCACGCGCGATCAATTTATTCCACCTTGCCCGGATTCATTCTATATGCATGGAAAGTCGCGAGTATGTTGGATTTTACATGCGTATACGCTCGCTCTAATGCAGTAATCGAGTTAAGAACGCACTAACGTCATGCGTGTGACGCGAGGTAGACTGGGTGAAAACCTGTATGAAGATTTGTTTCTTTTTTTTCTCTGTTCGAATTCATAATTGATACACTTCTAACTAGCACACTTAGGTGCTGCGGCGACAAAACGCGCCTGTACGCTCGAGATATACGAATAAATCGTCCACTAATGTATACGCAACGATCGTATAACGATCAACGAATCGGCATAAAAACACCCGTAGGCGGATTGACACGATCGGACGAATTAATTCGCTTTCGAAAGGTTCAATCTCGTACGCCGTGTGCCGCTTAACATAAATCAATTGAGTCTGACAGTTACACGCGCGCGTCGTACGTACGTAGAAAGTATTTTTTTAATTACGTTCCTCTTGCCAGCCCTTAATTTTTGCAAACGAACCTATCCTTTTAATTAGTATACCGTTGAATATACCGTAACGTTACAATTACCAGGCTCCATGAATAATGCGAAATCATCATTGCGGAATGACGAGTCTGTTCTTAAATCGCGATAACGTAATTGTGATTGCGGCGCGAACAGCGATTTGCACGCAACACAACGTTAAAGAAATTTGCGATTGTTTGGTCGCGGATAACTCATGCTATCGCCCGTATTCGCTGCTATGATATTAAGCTGTCACACAGAAGGCGATAATGCGAACGACTTATCGCGCTCACGTGCAAAGCCGTAAGTGCCTCGATATGGCGTATACACGTGGGCGTGTTTGTGATTTACGCCAGCGCGGTTTGTTTCTCATATAATGTCCGCGCGCAAAATCAATCATTCGGCGATTAATCCGCGAGATTCGCTAATTATCGTACCAGCTGCGCTGAATCTTGATTGGCTGTAAATCTCGCTTCGACGGAACACGAACGAATAAATGAGCGGCTTAAAGGTAAAAAAGTGCAATGTTTATTTACGTCCGTCAAGTCCCGTATGCATTTTTGCAGAGGGTATACAGTCGGTAAATAAATCCTCCGTGGAGGAGATGTTAGAGGATTTCGTTTATTAGAAACGACCTGGTTTGTCCTGCGTCATCGTCGACATTGCCTTGCCGCTCGTCTTCTTCTTCCCATTCGCAGGGCCGTACCGGTGAATCTCGCGCTTGATTATCTCAATGTCGTACCTCACGGCGTCCAGCAACTTCATCATCCTCTCCATCTCACGCAGCACCGGTCTGGGTCGATGAACCGTGAATGACATTGACCGAAATCGCTACACACAAAATTAACAGATCTTACGGAACCATCAGCAGCCCGCCTTCGAGCCTCTTCTCGTCCTGAGCCCATCGTAAATCTCTCAGAGTTAAATGGAGCTTATTGACATCCTCTCGAACTCTGGCTGTCCGCTCGCGATACTCGTTCAATTCGCGTTCCTCAAACTCGATATCCTCCGCGAGGCATGTCTCCTTCTCTTTATAGTGGGCGACTCCGTTAACGATTTCAGCGATTCTAATTTCGATTTGCCAACAAGCGGTTATAATAATAAAGCCCGCGTTCGGATAGATGGTTAGACAGATACATCGGTAGTAATTCATTCGTCGCCTTGAGTCAAAGATCTTTCATATTAAAGCTGCGACACTGTAGATATCTCATCGGATAGCTCTACATAAATCAGTAATGCAATCCATGAAATATCGCCAGTGCAGAAGTTAAAGTCGCAGCCACAATCTTTAGCGATATAGTTTCCGATAAGATAACCGAAAGAATGTTCGAAAAAGGTACACAATTCTCTTAGATAAATTAATTATGTTAATACATCGCCGACACTGTTCGTTTCAATTTCGTCGTTCTCTTACTTGTAGCGCAATTTTTCCAGTTCTCTATCGCGTTCATCCAATTTATCCTTATAATTCACATGAGCCATGTGTAAAGCCTCGTAATCTGTGGTGGTCATCCCTTCCCCGAGCGTTTCCAGATTTCGCAGTTGCATTTTTATCTCCTCGAGACGGTGCTGCAGGAGAATGTACGCGTAACGATTGCGAGCGAGAATCTCGCGTCGTGACACCTGGCAATGAAGAAGTCCCTCACGTGAGCCCCGCGACTAACGCGTATGCACGTCGGGCGGATTTAATTGGTACGTCGCATAATTGCTGTAATAGACAAGTGATGATTCACGGTCATTAAGTTACACCTGCCGACGGGTTATCTCGTTGACAGCCTTCTCCGTGAGCATTCGTCCGGTCTTCGCGTAAATGAGACCCGTCGCCACTTCCCCCTCGCGAGCCAGGAGTTCGTCGAACACTCGCGCGTTTTCGTCGCGCGCCTTTTGCGCTCTATCTTCGTAGCTTTGCATGTCGGCTGTTAACCGCGTCTTCCGCTCCGTTACGTCGTCGAGGTGCTGCTTATACGTATGCAATGTTTGTTTGTAGATCTGCTCCATTTGCTCGGATTCCTTCGTCGTATCCACGAGTGTCACTTTCTCCTGCATCTGCATGTATAAACGCATCGTGGCGAGAATCGTTTCTGTTGAAGACAGCGATTATTTCTATGCTGCACTTTCACATACGTCAGTTTAATTCCAATCAATCAGAGTGATTAAAAAAAATAAAAAAAGAAATAAAACTTGCAGTTGGTTGAAGTGCAAAATAGAAATTAAATTAGATGAATATAAAATTTACTTTGTTCGTTTAAACATCTAACCTTTCTCATATGTTTGATAATCCACACCTCGAGAAGCCTGTTTCGCCTTCGTAATTCTGTTTGCTCAGCTAAAAGTTCTTTTAATTTTCCGAGCATTGCCTCGCGACTGGCAAAAATCTACACTGGCAATCACATTAAATCTCAGTGCAAGTAGTAGGCATTTAACTTAATTCTACGTTTCTTTCTAATGTCGCAACACATTGCGATTACGATCATCGTAATTTCATGAAAACACGTCGAGATGCTTGGGGAAGCCTTTTATTATTACCATTTCAATCGATCACAATAGCGACGGAACACGTATACAATGCGGAAACACGTTTGTGCGGGGGCGCGTGATGAGAAGGGAGACTTAAGTCCTTAGAATATTACGAAGGTCGTGAGGCACAGTAATTCCACGGGCAGAATGACGCAGAATGACAAGTTTATGCGAACCTCGACTGGTATCTCAGCGAGCACGTGATCGGGCCCCACCACGTCTGGCTGCACTTCCTCTTCGGGCTTTTCTGCCGTCGAGATCGTCGCAATATCAGATAGTGCATCTCTTTCTTCCTCTGCTTCCTCATCTTCGAGGCTCCGCTCTTCGTATCTTTCCTCCTCGTATTCGCGTTCCCCCGGCTCCTCGTCCCAAATAAAAAACTCATCCATTTTGTAAATGCCTTCCTCCCCTTCTGCTTCCCCCTCTTTTCTCTCGTCTTCGTACTCTTCATTCTCCAGTGCCGAATTTTCACGATTATCGCTATCCACAGTATTCATGTATAACCTTTCCCCGTTGTCCTACAAAAATTAATCGCGCATTATCCAATTCCTTTGGGGAGGTCCATAAGTTACCGCAGGCGGTACCTCGTCGACGACTCCGTCCGCGTCGTTTTCCGTCATTTGCTCCATCATATCGAGACTCGGTTTAAATCGATAAATGTAAGTAGTCGCGCCCCGGGACGCGGAGCGCGGAGTAACGAATGCTACGGGGAAACGGGGCTGGATAACAGCTGCCAGACGATGAAAACAGTCGAACGAATTCACCGCGGTTGGATCGACGTCTTCGCGAGAAGGCCTCGAGCCGCATGCGGTCGACCTTGACGATCGAAGATGATCTTTTCTCTCTCGTATATGCTGCCACTGCCGCGTTGGTTTTAACCGTGCGCTCACGCAGGCGCTGGGAGGAAAAGTTTCCTCGCAGGACGTCGATTAAACTGCTGCGAGCTACCGGACACCGTCGGTGTGGATGGTGTGGATGCACGGTGCATCCTGCGGCGCGCAGGGTATGATTTCATCTTCGTGTGCTTTATTCTGCGCTGGCCACTCTTCCCGCTGATGTATGAAAAGTTTATTTATGGGGGACGTGCCTCGTTCGATCACGCAAGAGCCGCATGACGGCAGTAACATAGTGAGTTGAAACCCGAGTATCTTTCGTTTGCCAGACGTTAAAGCGAGGGGAATTAACAACGACACTGTATGTATGTAATTCATCAGGACTTAGGGACCGACACAACGTAATATCTTGCAGTTGTGTTTTTCTCTTTCGTTTGCCATAATAAAAGTACATTTTTATTTTATAATTAATGAAGGCTCAATTTAAATGTCTGTTGAATGCGAACAATTTAATTCTAACTGTGCTCTCAGGCAAGTTTATTTTCGTCAAAGAATTCAACTGATTGTGAGCTCAGCTAAACACATAACTGACACTTAAAAAAAAACGTATTTGCTGAGAAAATAAAACATGTATACGAAATATATTTTTAAATTTAATATACATTAAGATAGGTTGCATCTTTTTGCACAACGATAAAGATAGTCCGTTCCTTATTTCATATTTCGACGCATCTCATTAATTATTGAAATATTACTTTTTAAATATTTCATTCGTCTAACGTCAACTTTAGAGAACGCAGGAAAGTCAATATTCCCTATTCAATAACGTGTCGCGTTTATTTTTAGGCACCACGTAGCGATGCAGAGAGACACAATATATGCCAACGAAGGTGACGCTACAGAATGACGAGGACTTGCTTGCTGCCGATGGTCCCTCGCACTTTACGCCTGGTTCCTGCCGGGATTAGATGCCGTGTGGAGAAACAAAGAAAGAAGTAGGGACAATGTCGAGGGTCGGAGAAAAAGAGACGAAGAAGTACTTGAGGCAGCGTGGGCAGCCGCTAGCGCTGCATTCCTGTAGGATCAAGGATCCCTACTTGCCTCGTGTGTGCATTTACATATGCGGACACACGTGTGAGGAGCTTTGACTTGCGAGACGGACGCGTGTTTACGCACATGCACCACCGCCAACTACAGACGTAAACGTATCACTCATACACGTATGGTGACATAAAGCTCTTCGCCTCTCACATCGCCCGATCGTCCGTATCACATACGTATTTTTTTCATCGCGCGCGCGTTCCATATGCGCGCAGGAACAAAGGGCACAGACTCCAGTGTGTGTGAATACCGAAATAATGATCTCGCGAGAGTCGATGAATTTGCGAAGTAAGACAAGTTACGCGACGGCTTTTCTCTTTTCTTCTCTTCTTTTTTTTTAATAATAAATAACTTGGCACGCGAGCAATTCGTACCGCGCAGTCAAAATACAACATGCGCTTTGTCATGCGTCAAACTGACGTTTCACGATCCAGAGGAAATGAAGGAACAGATGTGATTTATTCCCCGGAGATACGCTGTAACGTAAAGCGTATCAGCATTTCCAGACTGCGCAGGGAAAGACATTCGTTCATCACGGTCGCGCCAAGTAAGGAATCGGTATAGTGTAAGAAAGCGGTTTATGCGGCGTGACGAGTGACAAGCCGAAGACAGACGTGCCACGCGGAAGAGCCGAGGGGACGCGTCGCGCCGTTCGCGCGAACGTTCGAAGAATTCATCGCAAGGGTCGTGTGGCACACACGGTGTATTTTTCCATTTGGCTTTACGTATGTACATAGGCATCAATGTTATGTATATGCCGGGCGTGTCCAGGCCGTTCGTTGGCCTTTCCTCGGATTTGATTTCCTTTCGAATCGCCGCGTATATTCCCGGCTCGTTCGTGCAGGCTGCTGCAGCGATGGAAACTGGACTGACTGGCTTTAACGGCGCGTCTCGGGACTCGCGTCCGTGATGGTCGTACGTGCGACCCACGTGAACGTATACGGCGGTTCCTACGTCTGCGACCACTGTCGCGCGCGCCGGCGTGCGTGTGCGATGTATATTGGAAATGCGCGTGTATGCGCGCGCGCGCGCGCAAGCGAGAGGGAGAGAATCCCTCGAGAATGCAAGCGCGTTGAATCGTCGTGCGTCAAATAGAACGCGACGAGGAGCGCGGCAGCCTGCAGATACCATTGTGACCGGTTGCATAAACCCGCCATCTTGGTATCCTCAAGGACGCGCATCGAATCCTAAGGTCAACGCACTCGACTCACATCGGCCGCCCTCCGCCTCCTCCTCCACTTCGTCGTTGACTTCTTTTTCTGGACCTTCCCCCCTTTCCCCGCCGCTTGCCACATACTTCTTTCTTTCTTTCTCGCTTCCATCGTTGCTCGCCGGTATCGCGCTTTTCTCGCTCTCGCTCGCGGGTGAGATGGAGAATCTCATCTGGCCACGAGCGGGATGTCACTGCCATTAATCCCGCCGATACGGCCCTGGCCAGAGTCGGTCGAGCCTCGGGCCGTCTTCCTCATTTTCTTCTTTCTCCCGCCCCTTCTCTCTCTCTCCCCCCTCCTCTCTCTCTCTCTCTCTCTCTCTCTCTCTCTCTCTCTGTCTCTCCCGCTCTTTCTCCACCTTCTGCTTCTTCTTCTTCTTCTACTCTTTCGATCTTACGACCTCCGCTTCTCGTACAGAATGATAAACGCAGGATATTCCGCGGGCACCATCGACCGCATCCCCGTATAAAGTACTGGGTCGTTAGAGACGGCATTTAATCTCGCGCAAAAAGCACAACTGTGAACTGAACTGATTAGAGACGCTTCGGTGAGCAGTCTTTCAATCGGCCATACCCTTGTAACTTTCTAACCGAGAGTGTCAAGATCCGATGAGAATCAGATCGACACTGGTAGCACGCGATATCCTGATAAACGCAGACGTCTGCTACGCTCGAGAATGCGGTCTGCCGCATGTTATGGCTATTTCGCGTTTAATTACCTATATATAGCAGCGGGAGGGTCTCGGGGAAATAACAGGGACTTTACACGAGAATGTCGATTGCCGTATGAAACACTAAAAATACGCCAATGATAACTGAAATGCATTCCAGTTAAATAGTTGTGCGAGGGTATACAAAGATGAAAAAATCGAATTGGTGAACCTCTTATCGGGGGAGTCGACCTTCCTCGTGTATTGATTACGAGAATCAACTAAGAGAGACAAAAGTGTTAAAATCTTTGGAGTAATCGTACGGTGAAGTAAGAGACAGGTAAATCGCAGTGATCAGAGAGCCGAGGTAGAGCGGGAAGAAAAAGAAGAGGGACCGGGAGCCGAGGAAGAAGCGAAGGAAGTAGAGGAAGAAAAAGAAGATGACGATGCAAGGTCTGACCCCGGCCATCTTGGCCTGCAGGGTTATTCTATTTATATCACGAACTTAGCTATATTTAGCTTACAGGGCCCTGCAGGAAAGCGAGCGAAGAAGAGAGCGTCTAAGGGTGCGGTGAGCAAGGACGCGGAGGAGAGCCGAGAAGGGCCGCAGGTTCGTGGTGACGCGAAGGGAGAGCGGGACAAGTGGGCCCCGAACGATAGAGGAAAAGGGGTACAGGTAAGTCGCCCAACACAGTCGCCCCCGGTAATCCGCCTGACGAATACATTAGCACTCTTGAGTCTCGCTATCTCGCGCGATTTCCGCCATACCTGGGCCCACTCGATATCTCGTACTCGTATACTTGCTCGTACTTTAATCCCCCCCACGTTCTATACCTGCGTGTAACGTATTGATTAGCGCTTCAAGTTCAGGTCACCGCAGCTTCTTGATCGCGCGAGAGTTCAATGTTGTTCAGAGATCCACAAAGAACAGAGTAATCACGCTGGATATGTATTTTTCTAAATATAGCTACTTTTATAATTGTAAATATCTAAAGCATTAATGTGCATACTTTGAAAAGACTACAAATTAATTTCAATACTAATAAAATAAGATAAAAAATAGAATAAATACAAATCGCCGATGACGAAAGTAAATAACAATACAAGTCAGTACGACCATTGACTTTTATTAATTTCTTTCAATTGCGCGACTACAAGAAGATTTAGATTGATATAAAATAGGATGAGATGCGATATTCGATGGAATTTGAAAATTTATCGAGTTACGAGATATCTCTTTGAAATCGTAGAAATTATATACCTTTCTTGCAAACTTAATAGCAACCTTCTGAAATTGCTGCTTCGCTTTGTTCAAGTCTTCATTACGTTCCTCGGAACAATCGCGATATCTCAGAGCGTGTAAAATTCATGGCGCGAAAAGGGGGAGTCACGATAGACGCTTCACCGACTTCAGGGCGGCTATATGCTCATGTCGGCCTATCGAGGTTATCGCGGTCCACGCCGTAAATTCAGGCCTCAACAACCCCGATTACTCCCGCTCTTCCTTCTTTCTACACTTTCTCTCTCTCTCTCTCTCTCTCTCTCTCTCTCTTTCTCTGTCTCTCCCTTCTGCCGTTCCCTCACGTTACCTCTCACTCTTCTTCTTCGGGGCCCTACGAACTCGCGTTGCTATTTCACGTCCGCGAAAAGATCCGTAGTCCACCGAGTACATGTTATGAAGGGAAGCTATACGTGGGACGAGCACGAAGACAGCCATATATCCCGGCCGTACACACTGGCCGCATACCAGACGTGAACACTTACAACCGACGTAAGGTCCAAACGTCCGTGGCACGACCGAGCATTCGCAGTTTCTGTCGCGAACTGCCGTGCTAAATCATCCCTAGCCGGGAGAGGTTCCGCACCGAGGAAGTGCCACGTATACCTGTGCGAAGAAAGAGGTCCCTTCCGCTAGAAATTCTCTCAAGGAGATCGAACAGCGAAAGGTAGAGGAATAAAAGCAATAAAAAAAAAACAGATTGGAATTATATGCATAAAACAAACTCCATTAGAGGTTTTCATAATCAATTACCGATATTAAAGAATAGCGTTTTTATTAGATCGCTGACGGGTGTGTTTTATTGAGATAAGTGCCCACTACATCCTAATAAAAGTTATACGTCTAGACATTGATAAAATAGAGGGGCGCAAAGGAAGTTATAATTTGTTCACATCACGAGTTTACTTCGTTATTTGCGAAAGATGGGAAATAAATTGCCGCGCGAAGTGCTGAAGTGCCAAGGGCATTACTTCTTTTTAATTTAGTGCATCCTTCGCGTATGTCGAGGCTCTCTCACCCGGCACACGGAGCACAACCGAGTGTTCGTGGGTCACGCGTTGCAGTGATAAATCATCCTAGATAATGGGATACCACCATTCCATTTCCAACGTGCTGTCAGCGGATAAGAACCGATACGTATGCGAAGTATTTTCCGCCGAGAAATTCGTAGCTCTTACGCGTCCCGTGTCGATGTACTGAATCATTTCAGACAGGTTTACAATTTATTATTCGGCGCGAATGGACGACAGGGACAAACGGTGAGGAGAGAAGGAGAGACGCGCTGTCGGCGCGTGTATAACGCCCGACAAAAAATACGAGCCCCATTGAAGAAAGCGAATAAACATGAATCGAACAACACCCTCCCCGTTTTCCAATCCCGATCGTCGGGTTCTGCATTTATGGATTTCCCATGCGCGTGCGTCCCGAGCCGCACAATAAGGACATATTTATGAACGTGCGTTGCCCGGGCATCGCGTCGTCGTGTATATGTACAGCCCCGGCAATACTTGTAGATCATGCGTTGCGACGCTAAATCATGTCCGAGCGCGAATAAGTTATCGAAGAAAAACGCAGCAAGAAGGCGCACGTACGCGCGCGAAGGAAGAGATACGAAGGTCTTCCTCGCCGAGGAATACCCGCGGTGAAAATTGCGCAACGCCGAAGTCGCGCGTCCCACGCTGTCGCTATACTGCACATCGACGTTCGCGCGCGGTGGTACCAAGGGTAAAGGGACGTAATCGAAAGAGAGGAAGAGAGACTCGCGCGCGCGCGCACGTGCGCGCGTGTGTACGCGTATCGCGCATTTTATAATTTCGCTGGATGAATCGGCATTAAACGTTGCTCCGTGCGCGCCGGTATTCGCGCGCTGAGTGACTTCACGATAAATCAAGCGAACGTGAATCAAGAGACGAGTTAACAGCATCGCGAAACAAAGGCGCGGCCATCTGTGATTCGGCATTTTCCTTCGTACCTAAAGAGAGATGTATACGGCGTACACTTACATTTCGCAGTAAATAACCGACGCTAATGGAGATAGCGCGATCTGATTTTCTATTATTACGGAAGTCGTCTATCCAGATACGTGTCTCTCTCTCTCTCTCTCTCTCTTCTTCTCTTCATTGCGGGTAACGATAATGGGGCCTCCTACATGTGCTTTCAACATAGCTTTATGCAACAAATTTGCAGGAAATAATTCAACATATGTAGTTAAGAGAGGTTCTCGACGTAAATGGAATAGAACGAAATGTATATGGTATACATATGTATCTCGCTTCCTCATATATCTTACATTCAAATACGATTAACCTTTCGAATTACATTTAGTAATACTGTAATACTATAAATGTGCCTGCATTAATGCGTGTCGAGTTTCGTTATGTATGCCACGTAATGTATTATGAATGCTGTATCATATTACAAAAAAAAAAAGAAAAAGTTTGTAAAGGTAATTTTTCAATTTACATTCTTTACTCCAACATGTGTAGTATAAAATGTATATAATATTTTCGCGAAGTTAATGTTCGCTTAAACATGTTTCTGCATTCTCATAATTTCTTATTGAACAATCTCTTACTAAATGGTAAGAAAAAAATTTGGAGAATTACTACGTGAACAAATGTATTCGTTAACAACGGATTTTCAACAAGTTTATATCATCTCTAATAATGCGCTAATATACCTTGTTTCCCATAAATCACTAGCTTCGCGATTCATAAATAGCGCTTCAACCGTTTTCATCGTCTCACATAATCGAAAGCGTTTAGTGTTTTGTGTGTTCAGCACTTCATCGCTGTTATTCCCTTCTTGAACGTGCATTTCCTACGCAAGGAAACGGTATGCTTCCTGCATCGGCTTTCTGCGAACTCTTCTCGACAGCTAAAGAGTGCGCGAACAAGAACGCGGTTCGTCACCCAACTACGTTTCGAAAAGCCGTGCGAGTTCTCGACGCGTTGAAATCCCCATTAAGATGGTATCGTAGGAAAAAAGTTGTATGCCCCTATACACCACTATACGTAACGTTGTTCTCCATGCCAACGCTTGCTGGTATAACTAGAGTTGGGCAGAGGCATTTTGGTGCCCCAGGCAGAATAATCTTGCATTCCTCTGCCAACAAGTGATAAAAATATTGATTGAGAGAATTATCTTGACACTTCTCTTGGAAATACGATGGTTTGTTATTTAAATAAACGAAAACGAGTGTATAAACGTGAAAGGAATTTATAAGAAAATTACTTTTAGCAGACTCACTGTATCCGTCATTTAACAATAAATTCATGATTGATAGATATTTTTTTTTTAAATCATCAACTTATCGAAGCATTCCATCACGCTGCGTTTACGCCGAGGCAGTTTTCCCATTGACAGCTCTAAACTCTGCTGAGCAAACACACTCTATCATATTCCACAAAACAATTCTTACCTTCTTCGACGATTGCGGCCTTGATCGTGCGTCTCGTGAAGCGAGTGCCGACGACGATCGCGATTCCGTTTCTTCAGGCTTCTGCCTTCGCTGCCGTAGATCGGTCCACCTCGCGTCAAGGTCCCAAGGTCGCTCGACATAGACTTCTCATGGTGGTTCATGCTGTTCGATCGCGGCCGATCGTAACCATGAGACTTCGCGGAATTACCATGGTTGATGATCTTTCGGGGGCCGTTGTGCACGTAGCGGCCATGCTCTCTTGGCAGGCTGCAGTAGAGATTTTGTGACGTGTAAATCGTCTTGCCCAAGGATTTATTGTCCCGACCGTTATCGCTGGTATTTGCACTTCCCTTCGAGGAAAATGTGGAGTTAACGTCGTGACTTCCCTTTGAACCGCCACCCAGATGTTCCCGCAACCACTTTCCTATGCCACCACCTCCGCCGCTTCCGGCATGGTTGTCTTGAACACCGTAGGAATCGCCGTTCTTACTTCTGTAAATAGAAGGGACAAAACAATATTGCTTACGACTGCTACACAGGATTAAATTACGCTCGATTACTTTCTTTAGCAAACACACACCTTTTCTTCCCACGCGCGCTCATGAAGTACGTAAGGACGGAAAACTGCAGCGCGGCCGTCACGTGGCAACGATGAAAGAAACCGCAGCGCGTGTTGCAAGAAGAAAGGACAACGGCGTACAATATTTTAATGGAGAGAAGAAGAAATGAAACGATTGCGTTCACGGTGTTCGAGGAGAGCGGCATGACGGCCTCGGTTCAGCGGTTTCGATTTCAGTATCCAGATCGATAGAGAAAGACTATATATATATATATATATATATATATGTAACGAGGCAAAAACTAACAGCAAATTCGGACGTATTAGTGCAAATTAAAATCGTTGTGTACACTGATCTAATCTAAATGTAAAAGTAAAATATCTTAAATGATAAAATGCCTAATACATATTTTATCAAATAGTATAATAAAGTGTATCGAGGATTTCGCAGTTTATTTCTATTAATACACATCTTTACGTTTGTATACAATGGCTTTAATGCACTAGTCCAATCGGATTCGCTATAAAAAAATACGTGGCTAAAAAAAAAAGAAAGGTCTATAGAGAAAGAAGAAAGACGAGGCCAGAAGACGAACGGAGTGGCGAATGAATGGCATGCGCCCGCGAGGGAATCAGGGCGAATGCTTTATTGTAATAAGGGCCATGTGGGACGAAACAGCGAGACAGGACTGGCGGAGGGGGGAAAAAGGGCCGGTAGTAGTTAGGACGCGATGACCTTGCCAAGGTCATCGATACTTCTGGCCATCGCCTGTAGGAGCCGCCACCGCGTGGCACCTTCTCGACTTGTACGTGTGGCTTCGAGGGCTCTTCTTTATCGATAATTCTGCACTTCTCAGTAACTGGCACTTTCTCAATGTCAATTAATTCTTACTAAGCTCGCGATGCGCATTCGTTACGAGCCGTGATAGGCCGCTTATCGACGCGTTAAACCAACGAACTTTATCGCGATGCCACATCCTGACGCACAGTCGGCACGGCAAACGGCGCATCGAATTAACGATCGGCATTATAATTTAAATCAATGTCTAACGCGTGCGATTTATATTTAATCGGTGAGCCGAAGGGGACGCCTAAAGACTTAATACGAGCGAACGTCGCGCTTTACGATTCGCCGAGATGCACCTAATTAATTGCAGCGAAATTAATTAGCCGCGTTACGCAGGTTACTTAATTGACCGGCAACGAGCGAGTCTTAGACTTCCTGATAAAGGGACAGTCTACCTCGTCGAAAGTCTAATCGGCAACGAGATCTCGGATTCAACGTTAAGGACAGGGAGGAGGAGGAGGAGGTTGGTAGGGGAAGCCAGGTAGCAGTCTTGATGCAGTTTCGTGATTCTCGACGTATTATCCAGCGTGTTACGCCACTGTATGAAATTCCGGTTTTGCCGCCCCCTCCGGCCGTTCGGGTACCCGCTCACCCCCCTATGCTGTTATCTCTCCGGCTTTTTTCCCGATGCTCGTTTTTGCCTACCAACTCGTGAGCCGCGCCCGAACCCGAAAGCAAACGCATTATCACGGAGCAATCCTCTTCTTCTCGGCCAATCAACGACCTCTTTAGGGATCGCACTTTTGGTGGTAACCGGTTGCATTCCCGAATCAAATAAAAACACCTCGCATTTCCTCACTTAAACGGGAAACAATCTTACGAAGCGCATCATGCGGTAAATTTTCAAACTGAACATTGTTACCGGTCATTACAAATGATTTAGCAAGCTTGTTGATATTTTATAAATAATTAGAATATCCTGTTTTTTTTAACAGTAAGTTAAATAAAAGTTAAATAAAAGCATATTAAAATTATGTATGAATTTAAATACGTTCTAGTGTATTCGTTATTTTGTCGTTAACTTTAACAGCGAGCAAAAAGGTAATAATCCATAGTATCACTGAGCGAGTTCACATCTTTATGTGAATGTGATAATTGTTATTAAATATCATTTTCTTCTCTTCTTTCTCCGTTATCCTATCCGTTTAATTACAGCTTAATCTTCATGATTCATAGTACCAGTGTCACGCTCGTGTTCACTAAAGCCTGAATTCACTGTACTAAGCAATGCATTTGTATGCATTCTGCTCGCTGCAGAGATTTCAAGTCCTCTTTTTGTCGCGTTCGTTCTGTCAGCCTCGTGCCATTTTATTCGATGACGTTGTCGACTGTGACGCAAACGTGAATCGCGGATGCAGTGTGATTCGCCGATGGAGAACCATTGTTTTAAAACGATTGTGCAGCCGTAACAAAACGTCTGTGCCAAATTATTATCTCAGTCTTACATCAGTTTCATTTTTCAGTGACATTCAGTTTCAAATTATACATATAGTCAATTAAATAAATAGGTACAAAAGAAACGAAACATCACATTTAATCTTTTTATTAGTAAACTGTAAATGAAGTTATTGCAAAAAAATCTTAATTGCAACTAAGAAGCTGTGCAACAGAAAAGCTATTCGGGATATAATTTGAGAAATCTAGAATAATAAAAAATAGATATATATAAATAATATAAATAGATATAATAGAAATATATATAAACAGATATAATTTCCATAAAAAATAGATAAATAAAATGAAAATATTACAAGCTTATATTCATAATTGCATCGAATACGCGTATATTTGAGAAATATGTTTTACAGACAAATTAGAAATGGCGAGATACGTGTCAAGTAAAAACATGCTCGATTTCATGGAACATCCTGCCAACATTCACCCTACACCTTTTCGTACTTGAGTGACCTGAACTCGGGCTGATTCGCTACCTTCTTACTCTTCGTTTCGCCAGTTCTTCGGGTTTTGTGCGGCTCGTTTCGCGAGTTCCTCGTTCTCTTCTTATTTTTCCCGCCTGCTTATCCTTTCCCTCCGTCCCGCCGCTGTTTCGTTTCTTTCTTTCCTACACCTTCCCCCTTCCACTTAGCTTTTCTTTCTCGCTCCTTCTTTGTTGGTACAAACACTTTTCCTCGAGCGTATTTCTATTTTATTACTCCGTGTCATTTCTTGCGAAGAGATTCGCGTTCTTCGAGACTCGTGTCTTCGTCAAGATAGCGAATGAATAATTTATCGCGCGATTAATTAGTAATCCCATGCATAGACGACGTATATATTATACATTATTAGTGTTTTCTTGTGACTAAGAATATATAAATATAAAATTTAATGCGGGAGAAATAATGTTCATCACGTGTTTATAGATCTGATAATGAGATATATATTTACATATCAAAATTGATCTTTATAAAAATATCTCCGCATTGTAATTACGTGAGCATTGATATATTTTAACTCTAGAAGTACACACTCCTGTTTTGCCTACGTAAAGTACACACTTGGGTCTCGAGGACCCCATCCATACTTGTTGTAACTTCAGCAAAAATAGACTTATTTTAATTAATTTTTTTTCAATCGATAGAGTTGATCAAGGAACAAGTCTATAATTGATAAAAGTCGATAGAATTAAGGAGTTCCAAGATATAGGGGTTCAAAGAAAAAGGAAAGTTCAAAAACGCGAAAAATGATTTAGCACCTTTTTCAAAAAATCGTATTTCTTTTGTTTATTTTATAGACCGTATTTCTTTTGTTTATTTTATAGACCGATTTGAAAAATCCTTGAAAATTCTGACAGGGCATACTTGAAATAGTAATACAAAAATTTGACAATCCAATTATATTTTAATTTTTTAACAAAACTGCAAGCAGTCCCGGGGCCCCCACGCTTACTTCAACTGCTCACTGCTCGGTTGTTGAGCGACAATTGCCGCGCGTCAACACGTCTTTGTACTGACAATGAGGAGATCCCAAATTTTTTTACGTCAATATCCCAAACCCCTTCCAATTTCAGAAATGCAAAACCGAAAAAACTGAGCTGGAGTTCCTGGGACTTCCAGTGTATACTTTTAGGTTTAAATTTGTGTAATTTTAAAAATTAACTAAATACATGCAATCACGGAAAGAACGATTTTACTGGAAGGTCTAAAAATTTTGCTGAATACAGATTTGAAAATAATTCTTGTTGAATAAGCATTTTTAACTTTCTAACAAAATTATTTTGATATTCTAGCAATCAGTTTGATTTTCCAACAAAATTATTTTGATTGTACAACAAAAATTATTTTCAGATCTGAAATCTAGCAAAATCGTTCTTTCCGTGATAGTAAATTAAATTTTCGCGAGTTACGTAGTGGAAAAATGTTATATTTCCCAAGATTATTCATTAAAATATCTACAGGCTGCTGCTTCTCTCTAGCTTGACAGGAAGGCTACATATTGATTACTACTAGATGATGTTGCAGTATTTGCAAGTAGGGATGAACGTTGCAGTACATGGGATTAACATTTAGATGAGCGGAATGCTTGCGTCGACTTACGTTGCGCTGTTGCTCCCTGAAGTACAAAGGATTAACATCCTTACAAGCAGCCATACGTGTTTTTATGCCGCATCCAACTGAATCATCCTTATACTCATAAACGTCACCGGTCTCTTCCAGCGCGAGCCTCTCGACGGAAGTCGGCTCCTCTTGTAGCGAGTTCCGAAACGCGCCGGCCGACTGGTTTCGGCGAAACGATAGCGAAAATCCCCCCGTCAATATTGATCGTCGTTCTTGTCTCGGAGTCAAAGGTCCTTCGAGGCAACGAGCCCCGGAGCAAACGCCGCGCCGTGCGCGGCCCCGCTCTTCTTGCCGATCTTTTGCGCGAACGGTCGGACGAGCGAACGCGAGCGTCGTGAAAAAGCAAATGCGCGGCGCATCGCGAGCGGGTGCTCAAATACGTGCCGCACGGTGCTCTCGAAGCATAATACGCGCATTATACGCCGGCGGCGTGCCTGTTCGGCTAAATTCATCTACGGTCCGAGGATCGGTGCGGTCGGCGTCTTTGAGCCTCCTCTGCTGAACGGTATCGCGGAAGGGCAGGTACCTACGA